AATACATCAATTTGAAGGCAGAGTAGATTAAAAAACTTGACCCAAGTATACGTTGTCTAAAAGAAATTCACTTCAAATATCATGTAGGTAGGTTGAAAATAAAAGGATGGAAAAAGCTATCTTATGCAAAACATTAAGCAAAAAAAGGAGGAGTGGCTATATTAGTATTAAATAAAGTAAACTTCAGAGCAAAGCTTTCTGCTTATCCACTAGTATATTTGATGGCACTTCTTCCTCCCATGCCCTGTTACAGGGTAGAGAATTGCTCAGCACCTTATTCAGGCATTTCAGTAGTCCCGCCTCAGCATCAGATTTTAAATATTTTGCTTGCACATCAATCCATCTAAATATCAACTAGCATTTGTAAGTTTCTATTATATGTCAAGGAATGTTTTAGATTTGAAAGATACAGCTCTGAAAAATAGACAATATTCCAGTTCTCATGAAGCATATCTAATGAGAGAAGAAAAAAATAATAAATTAATTTCTGGTAGCATTAGTGCACTGAAGAAAGTAAACTAGAAAGATAGAATAACAGTATAGAGTGACAGGAAGAACATGTGTTTCTATGTTATATGCTGTTTAGAAAAGATATACCAAAGTTTCATTTGCTTTTTATAGACATTTTGGGTGGTCTTTTGTTTAACGAGTTTATTCTGTCTTCTGAGCAGGCTATAATTTTTTCTCATTTGTGTGACTCTATCTTAGTTACTTAGTCACCTTAGTCAAAGGTGTGCCTGACCCAAGCCATGGTCCTTTCAGTCGTCTTACATGCATGTGAAAACTGAACAATGAAAAACAAAGACAGAAGAAGAATCGATGCATTTCAATTGTGGTGTAGGCAAAGAACAGTGAATATACCACGGACTGTGGGAGAAAAGACTCGGTGATCCACTTCCGTAAAAATTACAGCCTAGGAAACCCACTGGGGCGGTTCTACTCTGTCCTCTAGGGTTGCTGTGAGTCAGCATCGACGTGATGGCACACAACAACAACAAGCCAGAAGAGAAAACAAATCTGTCTTAGAAGAAATACAACCAGAATGTTCCTTACAAGTGAGGATGGTGAGACTTCAACTCACTTTGGACACTTCATCAGGAAATATCAATCACTAGAAAAGGACATCATGCTTGGTAAAGTAGAGGGTCATTGAAAATGAGAGAAATTCTCAGTGAGCTGGATTGGCACAATAGCCACAACAATGGACTCAAATATATCAACTATCATGAAGATGCCACAGGACAGGACAAGGATTCATTCTGTTATACATAAAAGCCAACTCAACAACACCTAACAACATCTTTTTGTTTTACAACCCCTGATCCGTCAGTTCCTCCTGTGATGTATTTCTTAAACATAGTTTCATTTAACAAATGTTGTCAGTTGTAGAGTTATTATTAGATAATAATTTTCTTTATTAAAAGAAATAATTTCATGATGTTTAAGAAAGCACCTTAAAATTGCCTTTTCTACAGGCAACTGAAACTTCTATAATTCTCCTAGTAGACTTCTATTCGCAAAGTTAGCATGGGAGGCCACCATGCAGGAATAAATAATAGGAAATAACTTTGGGGCACTTATGGGATTCTAATTTGTTAGTTTTTCATTTCGAGGTAAATAATCTATGGGTACATAGTGTGTTAAATCTCTAGCAGATATTTGATATTGTTCATGTAACAGTTGAATTAAAAAAAAAAAGTGATGTAAATCAGATCATGCATGCCACTCTTCCAAAAACTCCAGTCTCCTCCTACCCGACTCAGAATAAAATCTACAGTGTACTACATTATTTGGGGGCCAAAACAAAGAACTGTATTAATATAAGTATAAATATGTTGCTATTTTATGGCACTATTTTAATTTTTCCTGATTTGATGTCTCATAAAATTCAATCATCTATAGTCTGAAAGCCGTCAATATTTTCTTGGCTATAGTACGACCTATAGCTTTGTTTCATAACAACTAAGTGGGAGGGAGCTAGCATTCATCATTTCTAAATAGTGATATTACTATGCATGTCTGTCATTTGAGACCCAGCTTATTCTGATCGAAATTTCCAGTTAAAATTTAGGTTTTCTCCGCATCTTGGCACTTTAGAATCAGACAAACCAGATTCAATATGGGAAGATAATCTAAACTGTATTGAAAATACACACAAAATTGTTTCCAACTCTAAAATTCTTTAAAAATGCTATCTAATCAAGATAGGCTAAAATAAATGAATAAGTTAGACAAGTAAACCTCAAAAATGGGTAATTTGTGCCCCTTTCTTCTTTTCTTACAAAAGTTTGTTGCCTTCCTTCAACCCTCTTTTAGAAGTCCCTGGATGGTGCAAACAGTTAATGCTCTTACCTCCTAACTGAGTGGTTAAGGGTTCAAGAACACCCAGGGTCACCTCAGAAAGAAAGTCCTGGTGATCTACTTCCAAAAAATCAGCCATTGAAAACTCTGTGGAGCACAGTTCTATCTGACACACATGGTGTCGTCATGAATGGATGGCAACTAGTACTCTCTTTTAAAGAGAATATAGTATGAAGTTTCTGATGAAAAAAAATCCATAAATTATGAATTTTTCTCATGATTAACAGAAATGGTGGACCTGCAATTGTAAAAGCAAACCATAACAAGGCAACCTCTAAAATTCCTGGAGCATGTCTGCATGGATCTCAGGACCAGGCCTTCCTCACTTCCTACACACTTAAATTCAACTGATGAATTGAGGAGATTATGCAAGGTCCCCCAGAGAACTTCTGCAACCCACCTGTGAGAAGAATGCATCTTTCTTTCTTGCCCTTGTAGTAGAAACTTTGGTCTTCTAGTCGGACCTCTGTGCCATATGCCTACCATTCAGGCATAAATCTTTACTGACATCTGTGGAAATAAGAATGGGGGATGTTTCTGGATTGTGTTGCTAAATGCAATGTTGATCAAAAATAATTTGAGTTAGGGCAGCTGAAGAATTAAAGAAAAGCAAGGATCAATAGCATGTTCTTAAAATGTTGGTTTTTATATTTTTGATCCTCTTTAAAACACAAGTGTTTTGCAGTGCTAGAAATGTCTAGTTAAGTCCCAGTAATTTTAAAGATACTATTCAGTGGTTGAAATGTCATTAGAGCAGTTTATAGATCTAATGTATTTCCCCTAAAGAAGAACATGACTGAGATATTACAAAAATGTCAAAAAACTGGGAAGGAAAGATATGGAAGCCAAGAAATTTTTAGCTAGTGACTCAATGTTCCATTTATAATTATACAATATAAACCACCTTCTTTAGAATGGAAAGGTCTTCTAGGGAAGTGTAATACATGTTCTGCATAGCTGCCTTAGCACTGACATTTATGTTCCCTGTATAGTCTTGAATAATGTGAAAAATACATACCTATATATAATTTTAGGAAACGTACAATAATGAGAAGTTTCATATAGTTAAGATAAAAACTTTTTTTGGCTTGACAAGAATTACACTTCAGTATAGGACACTAGGAGGCTTGGTGGAGTAGTAGTTAAGCTTTTGGCTACTAACCAAAATGTCAGCAGTTTGAATCCACCAGCTGTTCCTTGGAAAACCTATGGGACAGTTCTACTCTGTCCTATAGGGTCATTATGAGTCGGAATCAACTCAATGGCAACAGTTTTTTGGTTTTTTTTTTTAAACAGGAAACTATGTATAGAGGACTATTAATCACAGAATAGTCTCCATGGAATTTTTGCAGCTAACTTTTCTATGTACTAATATGGAGAAATTCATAATATACTGTTAACTGAGAAAAACAAGTTTCAAAATATTACATATGTTTACTTTTTTCTGTAGGAAAGAGTGAATTAGAAATTTATATTTATATATGCTTATAAACTGCATAAAGGAATAATAGGAGATATATAGTAGTCCTGGTGGTGCAGTGGTTAAGCACTTGGCTGCTAACCAAAAGGTCGACAGTTCTAACCCAACACCTGCTCTGTGGGAGAAAGATGTGGCAGTCTGTTTCTAAAGATTGTAGTCTAGGAAATCCTATGGGGCGGTTCTACTCTGTCCTGTAAGGTTGCTATGAGTCGGAATTCACTCGACAGCAAAGGGTTTAAAAGATATGCAAGGAACTAATAAATGAATTTATGTGTCAAATGAGAAATAGAAAAGGTGACAGAAAGAGTGCAGGTGTTGAGACTTCTCAAAGTATATCTTTGTACATGATTTTGATTTTAAAAACATGTAAAATATTACCTATTTTTAAATTATATTTTTAAAATAGTTATTAAATGTTTATTAAAAAATGTGACTCATCTCAAGGAAAATATGAATTATTCTTTTATGATTCTTAATACTAAGTCCTTATTGATGAATATATTATCAGGAATTAAAAAGAAAAAAACTCCCTGTAATTATATCTAATATTTGTCTTATAATTCTTCCTTATTTTTGCTTCTGTTAACACTGGATTGCTGGATTGATTTGCCTAAATAGAAAAAAAACTAAAGGCTTTTGCATAAGTAGTGTATATCTACATATATACTCTTACATACACACATAGGGAGCCCTGGTGGCACAGTGGTTAAGAGCTTGACTGCTAACCTAAGGGATGGCAGTTTGAAGCCACTAGCTGCTCTGCTGGAGAAAGATTTGGTAGCCTGCTCTCTTAAAGATTACAACCTTAGAAACCCTATGGGGCAGTTCTACTCTGTCCTATAGGGTTGCTGTGAGTTGGAATTGACAACAAGGGGTATGGTGCACACACACAGATGCATATATCCTAAGAAAGAAAATATATTTTCAAGTTTGAATTAGGGTTTACCATCTCTATGCTATTTATTTATTATGGCTTGGAATCTTTGCATTTAAAGTCAGGATTAAGATTGAGTCAAAACTTATTTTTTTCCAAGCTGCACTGCAGGTATTGGTGAAAAACAAGGCTCCAGGAAGTGATGGGATACCAACTGAGATGATTCAACAAACGATACAACGCTGGAAGCACTACTTGTCTACGCCAGGAAATTTGGAAGGCAGTTACCCAGCTAACCAACTGGAAGAGATCCATATTTGTGCCCATTCCAAAGAAAGGTGAGCCAACAGAATGTAGAAATTATCTAACGGTATCATTAATATCAGAGCCCTGGTGGCACAGTGGTTCAGAGCTCGGCTGCTAACCAAAAGGTTGGCAGTTAAATCCACCAGCTGCTCCTTGGAAGCCCTATGGGGCAGTTCTACTCTGTCTTATAGGGTTGCTATGAGTCAGAATCAACTCGATGGCAACAGATTTGGTTCGGTGTTTGGATCATTAATATCACATGCAAGTAAAATTTTGCTGAAGATAATTAAAAAATGGTTTCAGTAGAATGTCAACAGGGAACTGCCAGAAATTCAAGCTGGATTCAGAAGAGGATGTGGAACGAGGGATATCATTGCTGATGTCAGATGGATCTTGACTGAAAGCAAGAGAATACCAGAAAGATGTTTACCTGTGTTTTATTGACATGAAAAGGCATTCAACTGTGTGGATCACAGCAAATTATGGATAACACTGTGAAGAATGGAAATTCCAGAACTCTTAATTGTGCCCAGGCAGAACGTGTACATAAACCACGAGGCAGTCATTTGAACAGAACAAGGGGATACTATGTGGTTTAAAATCAGGAAAGGTGTGTGTCAATGTTGTATCTTTTCACCATACTTATTCAATCTGTATATTGAGCAAATAATCCGAGAAGCTGGACTATATGAAGAAGAACACAGCATCAGGATTAGAAGAAGATTCATACAACCTGCGATATGCAGATGACACAACTTTGCTTGCTGAAAGTGAAGATGACTTGAAGCACTTACTGATGAAGATCAAAGACCACAGCCTTCAGTATGGATTATACCTCAACATAAAGGTGACAGAAATCTGCAAATCAGGACTAATAAGCAACATTATGATAAACAGAGAAAATATTGAAGTTGTCAAGGATTTCATTTTACTTGGATCCACAATCAATGCCCCTGGAAGCAGCAGCAAGAAATCAATTGAAACATTGCATTGGGCAAATTTGCTGCAAAAGACTTCTTGAAAGTGTTAAAAAGCAAATACGTCACTTTGAGGACTAAAGTGTGCCTGACTCAAGCCATGATATTCCCAATCACCTCATATGCATGCGAAGCTGGACAATGAATAAGGAAGACCAAAGAAGAATTGATGCCTTTGAATTATGGTATTGGTGAAGAATATTGACTATACCATTGACTACTAGAAGAATGAACAAATCTGACTTGAAAGAAGTACAGCCAGAATACTCTTCAGAAACGAGGACAGTGAGACTTGTTTTCATGTGCTTTGGACATGTTATCAGGACAGACCATTCCCTGGAGAAGGACATCATGTTCTGGTCAGTGAAAAAGAGGATGACCTTCAAGGAGATGGATTGACACAGTGGCTGCAACAATGGGCTCAAACAGAGCAAGGATTGTGAGGATGGTGTGGGACTGGGCTGTGTTTTGTCCTGTTGTACATAGGGTCTTTATAGTTGGAACTGACTTGATGGCACCTAACAACAACAACAAAACTTATTTTAATTCAATTCAACCTAACAAATATTTTTAGGGCCCCTACTATGTGGCAGTGAATAAAACCTACAGATATCCCTGCCTTTATGGACATAACATTCTAAGTGGTTGGGAAGGATAGTAAGACAGACAAGAAGCAATGTAATACAGTAGTAAATTTTACATTACCGTATTATTATTATTAAGTCCTATGAGAAAAATGAAAAAGTAAGGCAGTTAGAGGGATCCTGAGTGCCAGGGAGAAAGTTGGGGTTTAATTTTAAATAAGGTGGTCAGGGTATGCCTAATTGAGAAGGTGGCATTTGAACAAAGACTTGAAGGATGTGTGAGTATTTACTTGTCTATATCCGGGGGAAGAATGTTCTAGGGAGATGGAATAGCTACTGCAAAAGTCCTAAGGCAGGAGCTTTCCTAAACTACTTGAGGAACAGCAATGAGACCAGTGTGAAATGAATACCAGGAGAGTTCAGATGGACTTGTACAAGTCAAGGAATTTTGGTTTTCATTCTGGGTGAAGCTGGAAGTGATTGTAAGGTTCTGAGCAAAGGAGTGATAAGATCTGACTTATGTTTAAAAGAATAGATTATTGAGAACAAGGGTAGAAGTAGGAGATGATTCCAGTAATCCAAGCAAGATATGTAGTGATGTGAGCCAGAGTGGTAGGTAAAGGTGGTGGGAAGTGTTCAGATTCTGGATATATTTTGAAGGTACAGCCAATGTGATTTGCTGTCAGATTGGCTGTAGGCTATGAGAAAAAGAGAAGCAAAATTTTATCCCATAATTTTGGCCTCAGTAACTTGATGAAAAGAGTGCTTTCAAAAAAGACTGGAAAGTGTAGTACAGGGGGTCACATGTACACACCAGTAGGACCACACAGGGAAGAAACAGCCAAGGGTTGACTAGGAAAAAACTTCCAAGAGGAGAGAATTAATAGGATATAGGCCAGAGTAAGTTAATTCTCCAGATATCTTGTATAATACTGTGATCAGTCTTACGTGACCAACTCAGGGGCTTTGTTATCATGTTGTAGGGAGATATCCAATCCTCAAAACAGTTTATTTATTATGATTTTCTTGTTTTGGTAAAGATGTATGTCTTAGATGAGAATTTGTGATATCTATAAGAGAATGATAATACAAATTTTAAATTAAGCACAGCAATATAATAAAGAAATATTGAGAAGACATTTAAGATTCGTTCCACTGAATGTAGTATAGTACTTAAAAATATATATATTATTATATCTGTTATGGATTGAATTGTATTCCCCAAAAATGGGTGTCTACTTGGCTAGGCCATAATTCCTAGAATTGTGTGATTATCCACTATTTTGTGATCTGATGTGATTATCCTATGTGTAGTAAATCCTAACTTCTGTGATGTTAATGAGGCAGGATTAGAGGCAATTATGTTAATGAGGCAGGACTCAATCTACAGGGTTAGGTTGTATACTGAGTCAATCTCTTTTGAGATATAAAAGAGAGAATCAAGCAGAGAGGAGGCGGACCTCAAGCCACTAAGAAAAAAGAGCCAAGAGAAGAACGTGTCCTTTGGACCCTGGGTCCCTGTGCTGAGAAACTCCTAGGCCCAAGGGAGGATTGATGACAAGGACCTTCCCCCAGAGCCAACAGAGAGAGAAAGACTTCTCCTGGAGCCGACACCCTGAATTTGGACTTCTAGCCTCCTCAACTGTGAGAGAATAAATTTGTTTGTTAAAGCTATCCACTTGTGGTATTTCTGTTATAGCAGCACTAGATAACTAAGAGAATATCCAAGGGGCCATATGAGCATCCCTGGTGGTATACTAGCGTTTAGGACTGATTGAACATTTCCTGATGGCATGGGTTAAAGAACAGGCATTATCAGAAAAAGAAAAACTCATAAGGCCAGGGTCATCCATAAGAGAAGAGAGCCACATGCTCCCCTCTTCTCCTACGGCCCCACAGAGACTCATGTCAAAGACAAGGCACTGCTGGATCTGTTTCAGTTGAGAGACCCCTCCTCTCTGTGGGTCTCCATCTATAAAGGATATATATAGATGGGAAAGTAGCCTTGTCATTGGGGTAATACCCAAGCTTCTTGGTGCCAGGCAGTCTAATTGGGGATGCCATCTTTTAATAAGAGTTGTCTTAGAATCTAGCTGCCCAGCTTCTGGAGATTTTGAGGCTTCCCAGATGAAATCCCTGATCTCTGATTCTGTGTACAGTCCCTTCTGGATCATTGTCCAGACAACCTAGAGTAAGCTCTTGGCATCAGTTCTAAATAACTGCTTGTTGCATCAAATATAGTTCCCATGTATGTCCATATGTGGCTTGAGTGAAATATTTTTTTTTACTTTAAGACATTTTCAGGACATTTCCACAAATTTCTGACAGGGGTGTTGAAGTAGGTTCAGGCTGACAGTAAAACTTTAATTTTATTCATGGCTGAGCCCATAACATTCTATATAAACTTCTGAGAAAAATTTAAGCTTCTGAGTGTGGGAGGACTTTCTCTTATCAAAAACGTTCATGATATTACTCATTCTGGTGATAATAAGTACCTTTTTAATATATCAGGCTAAGCAAACTCTTTATAATTTCCTCTGTGACTCTGAAAACCTTGTTTTTAATGCTTGTCAATATAAAAACCATTTCATCAATATTTAAAACCGGACGTGTCTCATGAGCTCGCTAAAAGAATGAAAATCAGTTGGAATGATTGTGTAGTTGGCATGCTTTAACGCCAGTTTTTTCCCTGTTTGTTTCTTAACCAGCAGCCTAGGAACAAGTGCATCAAGTGTTTTAGGAAATCTGCAACTGCTACTTAGTATTGACTGCGTATTTGCAGTATTCACAAAAATGCCTTTGTTATGTTATACAAGATGGGAATTTAATGAGGTTATATTAGTGTAGGGTGTGTCTTAGGCCATTCACTTTTGAGATATAAAAGAGCAAATTAGGCACAGAAGCAAGGATGCACAGATAGGGGAAGACAGATGTCATGTCACATGAAGATTGCCAAGGAAAGGAGGAACAGAAGCTAGAAAGAGACAAGGACCTTCCTTCAGAGCTGACAGATAGAGAAAACTTTCCTCTAGAGCTGGGGCCCTGCTAGCCTCTTAAACTGTGGCAAAATAAATTTCTGTTAGTTAAAATATTCACTTTTGGTATTTCTGTTATAGCAGCACGAGATAACTAAGACACCCGGTAAGTGTGACAAAGCAGTATATAAATCATATCTTTTGACTTTCTACCTGGTGTTCTTTTCACTTGCATTCCAAAACATATCAAACTGTTCCATGAATTAAACAAAAATGTTATTTGTCAACATTTGTAGTTTTCTCTTCACTTTAGCCTCATGCTATAGAGAACACTTTATGTCTTCTCCTCCTTCTCAATCCTGCATTGCAATGTAACATGATCTTATGCATGAAAGTATGTTCCACATGTCCTACTACAAAAGTATTTGCAAGAATTTTAGATTTATATTTGGTTCTACATTAAATGCTGGCTTTATTATGATAGCATAAATTCTATCATAAATTCTATTAATTGAATATGTATATATCCTGTATTAAAATCTACTAAAAGATGTTGTCAGAATATTTAAGAAAAATACAAGCAAGGCAAATTTTAAAAAATAAAGTTAATTTTTAAAGTATTGGTGTTTGTAGTTTCTAACCTGGAAAAGCTGAATCAAAATGATGAACTATAGATAACCGCAGGCCAGTATGATTAGAGAAAGAGCCATTGAGATTTGGAATTGTAGCATCTAACTAGCACTGTTGTTTTCTGAGTTATGAACATATCTGTAGAATAAGTAATTATAAGGGAATTAGGTTATTGGAAAATATTGCTTTTGTACTGAAAAGAATTATCTCTAAATTTTATAAATTAATATTTACCTGCAATTTCTTGCTTTTGATTGAAGAAGACTTAATTCTTCTTTATAACAGTAAAATTTAAAAGAAACATTCTTGCCTAGTTCAAAACAGAGAACTGAGGCGTTGATTTGGTGATCCTTGAGCCTCTGGAGCATGATTGCAAGAAACAAGAATGCTCAGCAGGAGTGGTGGCAGGTAGGACCATATGGCCTGGCAAAAGAGGTAACGGTACCCCTGAGGTTGACAGATGCAACTGACAGCACTTCAGCAAAGGTACTGGCCCCTGAGACAAGACCATCTTTATTCACACCAGTGCTCAACACAGAGGGGGTTTTACCAGCAGAAAAGAAATAAATTCACAGTCTCGGTAGGGACACATATGAGATGGAAGTAACTCTGAGGAAACTATGGTGTGTGTGTGTGTGTGTGTGTCTGTGTGTGTGTGCATGCACATGGTCGCATGGTGGTGATGATGATGGTGTTACTAGGAAGAAACTGAGATCTTGAGTTTGCATGTGAAAGAAACCTTCCTCCAACCTGTGAGAAAACTAAATGTATTTCAAAGATCCAACACTATTTTTTTAAACACGTTTTTGTCAATAATTAAAATTCCAAAAAGATAGAGCTCTTCATTCCATTAGTTTAAGATATTCTGTGTTTACATCTATTCAAGCTATGGTTCTATGTGCTTGGAGGGAGTGTTCACTGACTTTTGTTGCACATATGGCATGTCAGTGTTTTAGAGGTTATTTGCCTTGAATAAAACAGAAATTAGGCACTGACATTAATTATATGCATCCCAACAACAATTTTAAAACTCTCTTTCTTTCTTATTTTGTGTTGAGCAAGCTCAAATCTCTTACCTAAAATCGTGCAACAATAGGGCTCGTTGGTCAAGTATGAGCACTACTGAAGCATAGTTGATATTATAAAATGCTTTCCCTCATTTACTTTCTTTTCATTGCTATTGTTACTAATTATTTTCATTTTGTATGACTCCAAAAAATTATAAAGGTACAAAGATGACATTTTTATTAAATGCATTTAAAGAGCGGAAAAGAATACCATAACTCATCTTGGACATGCAATATTTGAATAATATTAAAGCAAGGATCTCAAACAAGGATCATCTATTGATTATTATTCCCTAAAAGAATAAGGCAGACAGTGCATTGCAAGGTCTTGATGTCTTCATCATCCTTGAATCCTGAGGCCTCTAAAACCAAAGAGTTACAGTGAAAAAAATGTCATTTTTTCCAATAAACTAACTATTTGATTCACAGTTTCCACCTAGGGCCCTTTTCTTTCAAGGAAAAAAAAATTAATTCTATGGCACCCAACTACAACAAAATACCTAATTTTGACTAGAGTTGCAGTTTTTCCCTTTCAATTTGAGTTAGGGAATTGGAGTTCAGCCAAGTGAATGACTGTATATCAGCCTCTTTGTTTTTCCCTAATTACAACAATTTGTAGCCTAACGCTTTTTCAGATATCTAAAGGGAAAAAATCATAGCGGAATAAAATTGTTCATTTCATCTATATGCCACTCTGCACCAAATGCTATGACAGTGCAGCAAGGTCAACACATTAGAGGGGAACTCTGTGAACAAGTCCATTCTTGTGGAGAGACACTGTGACTAGTACCTGTTTCCCCCCCCTTTTATTAATTGTTTTTCCCAAGGGTTATTTTGGGCCCCTTTTTATTTTTTTCCTTCTTTTCTTTCGGATTAAGGTTAAAGGATTTTTCTTTATTGTTTTTTTTTTATTTTCTTTTCCCTTTTTTTTTCCTTGCTTTTAAACCCCATTTTTTTTCTTTTAATGACATATTTTCCTTTTGTCATAGAGGGTGATTCCATGCCTCTGGGACATTCGTTAGTTATCTGTGAAAGAACAGCCTCAAATCCTAAATCAGTAGAAAGTTTATGTCCTCAGGCATGAAAGAAAAATCTATTCTCACTAGCCTCCTGTTTTTTACTTCAAGCAGGGAGTAAAAATGAGAAATGTGGGAAGCAATACTGGTAACTGTGTGAGTTTTAGTCAACTATGAAGTTAGAGGGAACACAGTCCGCAAGAAAGCACCCTTACTTCTGACACCAACTGCAATTTTGGGGGTTTCCAAAGCTACCCACTTTCAGGTTTGATAATTCATTAGAAAGACTCACAGAACTCACTGAAAATTATAATACTCATGGTTATAGTTTATTACAGGGAAAGGATACAGATTGAAATGAACCAAGGGAAGAAGTGCATAGAGTGGAATCCAGGGAAGTACCAAATGCAGAGCTTCTGTTATCCTCTCCCTGTGGAGTCAGGAGATATTACCTTCCTGGTATTGATGTATGACAATACGCGTGGGGTATTGCCAGTCAGAGAAGGTCACCTGAGCCTTGATGTCCAGAATTCTCACTGGAGTTCCATCACATAGACACGGCTGATTGACTTCCCACGTGGTTGATCTCAGTCTCCAGGTTGACTGATACAGACCCAAAGCCCACGTAGTAAATCACATTGTTACCATCTGGTTTGGCCCAAGGTCCCAACCCTAAACCACATTGTTACTATCTCCTGTGGGCAGCCCCCGCCAAGACAAGTCACTGTGGCCAGCCCCCAACCCTAAATCACATTGTTAGACTATCCAATGTATCCAGGAAAACAAACATACTCCTAACAGGTAGAACATTCCAATGATTTAGAGATTACCTTCCAGAAGCTGAGGCCAAAAGCCAGAATTCTTTTTGAACAAGATCAGATTCTTTACTACACAGTAACCAAGCAGTCTCTCCCTCAGTCCTCATTAACAGCATCACCAGAATCTAAGTACCTGACTCCCTCTCCCTTTTGTCATTCAGAATCTCTGAAAGTTCCACTTTGAGCAGCTGAATTGCTTCTCCTTACTCACCACCCAGGAATATCCCACCATTTTGCCCCTCCCAGTGATCACTGAATGGCTACTGATAGTCTCCACTATTCTTCCCCTTCTTGGTTCCCTGGCATTGCCTCAGGAAACTTCCTCTCATTGCTATGACTGCTGTCACTCATCTCCACCAGTAACTACAAGGAGTGGGTAAGAAATATCCCACCCTTATCGTCTGTTATTATAGTCACTGCATTCTGTGAGTTGGCTTTTGGGCTCTCAGTTTTCCATGTTTTTAATAATGCGATTTTAAAAATATACTTGACTCATCCGATTCACTATCACTTTTCCTTTTTTTTTTGCCACTCCCCAACTCTGTCTTCCAGAATCCAGGCAGAAGTTTCCTAGTGACTATATTTCCTGACAATTTTAGTATGTATGGCTGATGCTGCAGTGAAAACTTCACCCAATTCTAAAATCCAAGAAAATTCCAACACCAAGTTAAATGTATGGACCTGAAATCTGTGCCTATTTACGGTGATACTCCCCTCTACTTGCCATCCTGTGGAAGAGTAAGTATGAGCCACGATTCTCTAACTGCTTGACCTTATGATCTCTAGGGGAAATCACTGTTTATGAAGCATTGAGTTTCTGTTTTTGGGTTGGAAAATTTGGCAATGGATTTTGGTGGTGGTAGCACAACATGACTGATGTAATTGGTGTCAGTCATTCTGTGTCCCATGAGGTTTTTTATGTCCAGTTTAGCCCATGTCCATTTTTTTTAGCTGAGGCACCTCAAAATATACATCCAAACACAACCACATTAGACTTGTCCCGAGACAACTCTGCACCTCATGGGCACTGTCTCTGTTATCTAGTACTGCTGTAACAGAATACCACAAGTGGATGGCTTTAACAGAGAATTATTCTCTCACAGTCTAGGAGGCTAGAAGTCCAAATTCATGGCACCATCTCCGGGGAAAGGCTTTTTCTCTCTGTTGGCTCTGAGGGAAGGTCCTTGTCATCAATCTTCCCCTGTTCTAGGAGCTTCTCAGCACAGCCACCTCAGGTCCAAAGGATGCACTCTGCTCCCAGTGCTTCTTTCTTGGTGGTATAAGGTCCCTCTCCTATCCTCTCTTTTATATCTCAAAAAAGATTGACTCAAGATACAGCCAATCCTATAGATTGAGTACTGCCTCGTTAACATAACTGCCTCTAATCCTGCCTCATTAACATCACAGAGGTTAGGATTTACAATACATAAGATAATCACATCAGGTCAAAAATGGAGGACAACCACACAATACCGGGAATCATAGCCTAGTCAAGTTGACACACATTTTTAGGGGAAACAATTCAATCCATAACAGGCAGCTTACACTGTCTCTCCTAGCCATGTTGATCTCTTGCTTTGTTGATCTCCTATGCTTCCAAATAGAGCATTCTAGTGTTTCTGCATCTCAAGCTTGTATTCTTGTTAGGTGCTATGGAGACATTTCTGACTCACAGTGACCCTATGTACAAAAGAATGAAACATGGCCTGGTCCTGTGCCATCTTCAAAATAGTTGCTATGCTTGAGCCCATTGTTGCAGCCACTATGTCAACCCATCTTACTGAGGGTCTTCCTCTCTTTTGCTGACCTTCTCCTTTACCAAGCATGATGTCCTTCTCCAGGGACTGGACCCTCCTGATAACATGTCCAAAGTATATGAGACGAAGTCTTGCCATCCTTGCTTCTAAGGAGCATTCTGTACTTCTTCCAAGTCAGATTTGTTCATTCTTCTGGCAGTCCATGGTATATTCAATATTTTTCACCAACACCATAGTTTAGAGGCATCAATTCTTCTATGGTCTCTCATTGTTTAGCTTTCACATACATAAGAGGTGATTGAAAATATCAT